TCTGATTTATATCCTTTTCCTAAAACTCATGCTTCAGAGTTTGTCAGCCACTTGCAGGCATCTGGAAGGTCAATACCTCCCTCCCTCCTCTCCTCCACCCCCTCTCCCCAAACGGTGCATGTATTTTGGGCAAGTTTCTTTTCTCTGCTTCCTCAGAAGCATCAGGGACACTGTGGGGAGCAGGCCTCTGAGGTGGCAACAAGCATTCATTCTCTTTCTTAGGCACTTGCCTGGGTGGTTCTTGCTTATATGATCAGGGTCTAACTGATCTCCACAGGTAGGGTCGGGAAAGAATTTTCTCTGAAGTCAGCTTGGGATCTTTGTGCTTCCCTCTTCAGCACAGTAATGTGGATCACTTACTTGGATTATCTGGGTATATCTCTCATAATTTTTTCTTTATTATTGCTACGGCCTTGGCCTCTGATGCACCATACCCTCCCCTATTCTCTCTGTGTGGCATGTCATAGTCTGTTTTCCTGTGAGTTGTAATACTTCTGGTTTCATTTCACTTGTTGTGTTAGTGGGCACTTGCTGGGTGGTGCTATACAGGAAGTCAGACTAGATGATGTAATGGTACTTTTTGGCCTTAAGCTACATCATTGCGTCATATGTAGATACCCCTGAGTTAGATTAGTTCTAGCTAGCATGGGTATGGATAGCAGAGAAGCTATGGTACCATACGTTAGCTGCTTAGTTACATACCAAACCCATGTTGCAACCTATGCAGCCGTGGGCTAACTTTCTGTTTGAGCTAACTATGTTAGAGCTCTCTAGGTTTGCTACAACCAGAGGTTTGATTGCAATGTAGACATATGCTGAGAAAACGTTCAATTTTTTTGCTTCAGTATTGAAGCGAGGCACTATCCAGGTTTTTCTTACCTAGCTAGTTCATAATTAAGAGTATCTTGAAATAACATTTTGAATTTTGAAAGGAAGTTCACTTTGACATGCTAAAAACATTCTGATTCATGATGGAATTGGCTGTCTTGTATAATCTAAATCAAAGTCCTGATTTGCATGATGTTCTGTGGAAGTTTTTATCTTTATTTGATTTCCTATCAGTGCAGTAATGCAGTATACATCTCTGAATGCTCATGAACTGCTGAATTGTGAGGATATGAAAGAAATAGTGAAGTTATTAGCATTTCAATGGAAAGCATTGCGTGGAGAACAAAGGGCCTCAGTTCCATTTTATCAGGTTTCTTACCTTTCTGCAAAAAATATACAGACTTTTCTGTAGTCTGAGGAGCACTTATACAAACTGAGACATAAAAATAGCCCCAGACTGAGATCCTTTGCTGTTTTCAGATACTAGAAGCAGCTCAGATTTGTCCATAGGACTCCAAGGTTTGCTCACACCCCTTCCACTTTCATTCCCATTTTCTACCAATGGCTATTCAAAACCAACAGGAGTGCCTCAATCCTGTGTTATCCTTTACCATGCTGGCTTTGCAAGATAAATTGGGAGGGAGGAGGCAGCAGGGAGCATTATTTTCCCCATTCACTTGCCTCCTCTCCTCTGTCATCTCAAGATGAAAAATTGGGGAGGGGGATTGTATCGTGGTTGAATGAGACCAACTGCTGAGCTATTTCCCCTTCTCTGCTATGAAAAAGACAGTCAGACATCAGCAGAATACAATCCCACGTAGTGCATGCACCGTATGTAAGGAGATCTCAGGAGCCAAAGCAGAAGGGCTCTGCCACAATTGTTCCCAGCCAGCAGACCTTTGATCTGCCAGGAAGAAGGTGCTGAGAATATGGATTGTTTGCTGGGCCTCTCACACCAGTAGGTGTGGTCTGCAGTTCTCTGTAACCTATAGGACTCAATAAACTGGTGATGGTCAGAAGAATTTTCTGCTTGCAACTTTCTTCCTTTTATGTTCAAGGACATGTCATGTAGTTCATTGGAAATTTACATAATGTCTTGTGAACCCTCTTGATTAAGATTTGGTTGCAAGTCGCATTTTTAATTTAGCACTATGTATTGGATAGCAAAATGTGAATGATATGCAATTCACTCTTGACAGCAGCCTTGTCACTAATAATGCCAGAGAAAAATTCATGTGTATCGCATTACCTGTGTGTGCCATTTTAGAGCTCTGAAAAACCTTGTGACAATCTGAGAAATTATTCTTAAAAGATGAATGGGTTATATTGTTTCATATGATTCTGATTAGCATAACTAGTCAGGGGATATTGCTATGAGGTTTGAGAATAATTATTCATTGCCTCTGTTCATTAGTGCAGCGATAACTGGGTTATAGATCAATAGCCACAGGTGGTGTAAATTATTGTAGTTAACTAGGCTTCAGACTATTCCAGTGTACACTAGTTGAGAATCAGGCTGATAGACTCCTTTCATGTGAACGCGTAATTCCCGTTAGCATTAACATGCGGGGTGGATTCATCAAAAGGAGACAATCCGACAAAGTGTGTTATTGGGGAGAAGGAAGGGGGATCATGTTTATTTGAACAACATAGAATTAATTAGCTATATTATAAAAAATCTCCTTGAGCTATAGGGCTATTGATTAATCTCAGTTTACTCATGAGAGTAACTCAAATCCATTGATTGCAAATAAACAAATTAATTGTGATTGATTGCAGTTTTAATCTCACTGTTAAACAATAGAATACCAATTGATTACAAATATTTGCACAGTTAAATAATAAACAAAATAAATGGTATTTTCAATTCCATTGAATAATGTACAAGCAAAGACTGCCCTTTTTCTCTCTTCCCCTCTCTCTCGCACACCAGATAATTTCCTTGAATATCTTGTCAATCGTGTGGCAGCCAAATAATTATGTTTTAAAAAATCCTAAAAATGCTTATCATGTTTTTGTTAATCTAACTACATTTGGTGTTTCATTATTTTCCAGGTTCATAATGACTTGTTGCTTGAAAAGGAGCATCAGTTGCATTCATTGGAGAATAAACTTGGAGAGTGCATTGCTGCTTTACAGTTCCAAAAGACTGATAAGAAGTCCAAAACATTGGAGATTTACACTGCTATCATAAATGTACAAGCTTTGCTTCTGGAAGAAATGAGCACATCAAAAACACTGTCAGAATCAGAATGTACCCAGATTTTAGAGGCACACAATCCTGTAAGTAAAAAGATTCTCAGAAGGGTAAATTCTTCTTAGGCCGGAACATAAGTTGATGTAGCTTTTTTGACTGCAATCAAACTATTTTGATTTATATCACTTGAAAATGTGGCCATTTTTTCTATTGCTTTGTCTAGTTTTGGTAGGGTGTGTGTCTATGGGCAAATATCTGACAGCTTTATGTGAAAGAAATACAGATAGAAAGTTTCAATACTGTTTAAACAGAGGATATGAATATTATAGCTAGAAAGATATTCATTATTTGTATTATAGTAGCACCAAAAGGCCCCAACTGATATAATACCACCACTTTGAAAGAGGAAGTAATATTTTTAATTGGTAACTAACATTTCATTACCTTGATCAAACACTAAAGGGCAGGGGAGTAACTTGGAGAGAAAACTGATAAATAATTTTCATGATCGGCTTGCAAAGTTTGTCACTTTGATGCAGTTAGAGCTATGTGAGGAGTTTCACAGCCATGTGATAAATTTCAGTAGTTGTGCACACAGAGTATTCTCAGTCTCTCTCTGGCTCTCTCTTTCTTGTGCATGCGCACGCAGATTGAATAACAATCTTCAGAAAAAGCTTTTGCTTCCCTTTGTCATATTTTTTGCAGATTAGATAAGTGGCAGTTTCAAAACTCTGTTGGGTTTTTTGTTCTATACTGTATAGTCATAAGGAAGTGTGTATTTGCTTGTCTCCCTTTTGTGACTATCTAAGTAGGAATTGGGAGAGCAATGAAGTAGAACAAACAGAATGGGCTTTTAAAAGTTAAACCTTTTTGCTAGAAGGAATCATTAGACAGATATCACTGGGAAAGCTCCTCCTTAAAATTTAATGCTATCCCCACTTGGAGAGCCTTTCTTAAAGTGACAATATGCTAGTTTAAATGTGCTCTATGTACTGAATTTGTTTAATGAAACATTGTATTGAAACCGTAATAGCCTTCACAGTGACCAGAGGAAATAAGATCAGTGCAGATAAAGCATTAAAAGTAATTTCCTTTTTTGTTTACTACTTGTATGAAAATTTTTGCTGTGAAGCCTTGATAACAGGCTGCCCCTGTGCTGAGACGGCTGCCTGTCAGGCTGACCAATGACATGTCATTGTTTCCTTGTACTTTTCCAAGAGTCTCTCTGTCTCTTGGGTTATACTGTAAACTCTTTGGAGTAGGGGGCCACCTTTTAGTTCTGTGTTTGTACAGCACCTAGAACAATGGGGTGCTCATCTTTGACTGGGACTCCTAAACGCTGCAAAAATACAAATAAAATGATAATTATAACAGTGTAATAAGATGCAGAGATTCTAGCAGGTCCCCTTTCCTTTTGGGATGTTAATGGTCATGTGTGTGTGTTCAAACGTTTAATCACTGAAATTTGTAGCAGTTACACGTTTACACGCAAAAGGGCAAGCAGGAGCTTAAAAGCCGGCTCCTATGAGCATCAGCTCCTGCCTGTCTTCCCTCTCCCCCTCCCCAGCTTCTGATAGAGAGGCAGCAGTGTGGAGGGGCAGGCAACTCTGTGGGAGTCAGTGTTCATGGGGAGCTGGCTTTCAAGCATGCACTGAGTTCCACTTCTCTCCCTCCTCCCCCCTCACCCTCCGCCCGCTGCTGCTTCTCTATCTGAGGCAGCAGCGCGGGGCGGGCAGGTGGCTTCCATGTGCCCCCACGCTACTGTCTCTGTGGGAGGTAGTGTGGGAGTGAGGGCAGCTCCACAGGAACCTGCACACATGGGGAGCTGGCTTAAAAGCCGGCGCCCCATGGGCGCCGGCTCCCAGCTCAACCCCCTTGCTGTCTCTGATACAGAAGCAGCAGGAGGAGATGTGGGTAACTGTTAGGCTTAATTGATAAGCCTAGGCTTATCGGTTAATTGTGTAAACGATTACTCACTAACTTCCCTACTTTACATAAAGCCCTGCACAGGTATAAAATTTGTATCCACATCTGCGTGTATATCCACAAAAATAAGCTGTGAATAGCTGCATTGATATCTGCAGATGCGGATACCTGCGGATATGAACCAGATGTGCATGAATTTGCAGGGCTCTTCCAATACACAAAGATTTAACTCCAGCTTCCCATTACTTGTTCAGAGGGAGGGGTATAAAAAGGGCTGCTGGAGATCTAGATAAGAGCGAAAAGAGCACAGATATGTAGAGGTTTTTTACCCAGGCTGTGGGGTGAAGTTTCTGTTTGTACTGTTTGTACTTGTGATACCTGTTTTTTAGTTGGTTTATATATGCTATCTACTGCTAAATAAACTTCCCTGCCTGTTGCTGCTTTTTTACAGTCTTAGAAACCTGTTAATTTAAAATCAACATCAGATCACTTGATAATTTGTAACTCTGAAGATGTAACTGTTCAGTAGAACAAATTAATGATTAGTTGTATGTTAACCTCATTAATCTATCAACAAACATGTTTTTATTTCCCGCACTGGCAGTTACTCTGAATTTATTATTACTTGTGTTATGGGAGTGCCCAGTGCCCTGTTTTATTAAGTGCTGAATATAGACCTCTAGTTAGGGATGATCCTTGTCCTCATGATCTTAGTCTAAGAGCATAAAGCCAGCAAAGGGTAAGGAAAAAATATTTATCTTCTTTACTTTACAGAGGGGTAACAGAGGCACAGAGATATTAAATGACTTGACCATGGACTGAAAGGAAGGACAGAACCAGAAACTGAACCCTACCTTCTGAAACCTAGGCTAATGACTTAACTCCACAGCTGCCCTGTCTGTCATATTAATTACACAATTAAGACAAGGATTTTTAAAATGGCACTCTTAAGCTAAGCCTCCTAAAACAATTCATAGGCAGCATTCTTGTTTGACTGTAGAGATATTGTTTTCTTACTTTGGGGTCTTTTTGAGGAGGACTAGTCAATATTTTGCAATTTGAAACCTATTTAGTATTAGTAAATTGATTAATTATTAAGTAAAGACTCTCTTCATGAATTTTCACATTGTGTTTCAGTAACTTTGCACTGCTTTTAAATTCAGGCTGCCTGACGTTTCAGTCTCACTCATACAGCTATTGTACATTCCAACCAAGATTTACCATTATGTTTAAGCACTGTTCTGATCCTCATTGCATACTAGTCATGTTTATTGATGCCATCACAATGACCAGGAAAGTGTAGTGATCACAAGTGATTGGAAAGAATGAGAAAAGAGTTAAGTAATATTGCAAGCCAACGATACCATCTTTTTTCTTGACTCCAAATGAAAATTATTCTTCCAAGATGAATTGTTCTTATCATTGCCCTTTTTCAAACTCTAGGAGATTGAAGAACTTGACAGAAAGTTGGAATATGAAATGTTACATCAGGAGACAGCTCAGCAGCACCACCTAATGAATAGGCAGAGATGGACTCCAGATGGATTAGGACTTTTGGATGAAGTTGTAGAAATTCCTGCAGACAGACAGGTGTCTGCTCTGCTGCATCAGGCACTGAATAAGTGCAAGCAATTAGTGAATCTGCTTCAACAAAGGTAAGGCTTTTTGGTATAAAGCATGACTGCCTTTTTGTATATTATCCTAGTCGTGGCAAACCATCTTCAGAGAATGTAACATACTATACAGAATCAACAAGCTAAATTTCATTCAGTAAACACTTCTGGGCAAGGATTTATGTCATCAGGAAGACTTCCCTACTCTGCTGGGGGATTCTGGGCATCATTACAATATACACATTCAATAGTAATAAATAAGTTGACTGTATACTTGAAATTCAACACCTTACTTTACAATCCTTGTTTCTGGGCTAGATTGGTGGACTAATGCTACTATTCCACATTATTAAGGAAGAGACCGGGATTGGTTCTAGCTCTCTCGAGCTCAAAAAGACAAAGTAGGGAGTACTGTGAAAGCCACAGTCTCTGGGGAAATATTTCCAATTAATGCAGACCACTTGAATTTCAATTCCACCTCTGCCCTGCATCCATTTTGCTGCACATTGAATTTACTTTTCTGTGGTCGGTATTGCTTAGATATACAAATTGTTCTAATGGACGAGGCCATTGTTCATTACAACAATGAAAGTGGCCTGCATTAAAGAAAAGATGTCTCTATGACAAAAAAGTGAAAGTTTGTATTTTTTAATGTAGAAATTGTGTTGTGACACTTCTGTTGAAATGGCAAACTGGGTGAGATTTTGAAATAATAAAATCACAGACACTTCCAGCCATATGCCTTCAGCTTCATGCCATACTACGAGAGAGAGCTTTGCACTACTATGTAGGTGTCATTTGGACTGATTTGTATTGAATGGCATTGACAGGCTTCAAAGGGAGCCCTGTCCTCTGCTTTCCAGAACAGAAATTTCAGATTGGGCTTCTTGTAGTCTGGGGTATGTAAATCCTCAAGAGTCATTTGTATTGCTTAATTTAATTGTTAAGGGCCAGTCTGCAGTGAGATCTAGAGGAATATTTCTGTGTCTTGCTGTAAAAGACTTAATCACCCTGACATCTGTTGGGAGACCAATACAGCAGTACACAGACAATCCAGGAAGTTTTTGTAGAATGTTGGGGATAACTTATTGGTACAAGTGCTGAAGGAACCAACCAGGGACTTGACCTGCTGCTCACAAACAGGGTGGAACTAGTAGGGGAAGTAGAGGTGGGTGACAACCTGGGAAGCAGTGATCATGAAATTGTAGATTGTAGGATCCTGACCAACGGAAGAAAGGAGAATAGCAAAATACACACCCTGGACTTCAGAAAAGCAGACTTTGACTCCCTCTGAGAACTGTTGGGCAGGATTCTCTGGGATGCTTACATGAAGGGGAAAGCAGTCCAGGAGAGCTGGCAGTATTTTAAAGAAGCCTTATTGAAGGCAGAGGAAGAAACCATCCCATATGGTAGGCGACCAGATTGGCTTACCGGGGAAATCTTTGGTGAGCATAAACAGAAAAACGAAGCTTACAAGAAGTGGAAACTTAGACAGATGACTAGAAAGGAGTATAAATATATTGCTCGAGAATGCAGGGGAGTTATAAGGAAAGCGAAAGTGCAATTGGAATTGCAGCTAGCAAGGGATGTGAAGAGTAACAAAAAAGGTTTCTACAGGCATATTAGCAATAAGAGGGTGATCAGAGAGGGTGTGGGGCCCCTACTGGATGAGGGAGGTAACCTAGTGACAGATGATGTGGGAAAAGCTAAAATAACTCAGTGCTTTCTTTGCCTCTGTCTTCACGGACACGGTCAGCTCCCAGACTAATGCACTAGACAACACAGTATGGGAATCCATTTTGAGGCACTTGGAACAGGGGAAACTGATCAGGAATAGTCAATATGGATTCATGAAGGGCAAGTCGTGCCTGACCAATCTGATTAGCTTCTATGCTGAGGTAACTGGCTCTGTGGACATGGGAAAGTCCGTGGATGTGATATACCTTGACTTTAGCAAAGCTTTTGATACGGTCTCCCACAATATTCTTGCCAGCAAGTTAAGGGCGTATGGATTAGATAAATGGACTGTAAGATGGATAGAAAGCTGGCTAGACCGTCGCGCCCAACAGGTGGTGATCAACGGCTCAATGTCAGGATGGCGGTTGGTTTCTAGCAGAGTACCCCAAGGATCTGTTCTAGGACTGATTTTGTTCCCCGGGAAATTCAAATCCCGGGCTTCATTAGCAAGTGCGGTATGCATACATTACCCCGCTAGTTCGAACTAGCGGGGTAGTGTAGACATACCCTGAATGGCTAAGTAGCAGTTCTGAGTTAACAGTGTGCTTTGTAGCCAAGAAGGCTAATGGCATATTACGGTGCATTAGGAGGAGCATTGCCAGCAGATCTAAAGAAGTGATTATTTCCCTTTATTTGGCTCTGGTGAGGCCACACCCAAAGTATTGTGTCCAGTTTTGGACCTCCCACTATAGAAAGGACACGGACTCATTGGAGAGAGTACAGCAGAGGGCGACCAAAATGATTAAGGGGCTGGAGCACATGATCTATGAGGAGAGACTGAGGGATTTGGGTTTGTTTAGTCTGCAGAAGAGAAAAGTGAGGGGGGATTTGATAGCAGCCTTCAATTTCCTGAAGGGAGGTTCCAAAGAGGATGGAGAAAGGCTGTTCACAGTAGTGACGGATGGCAGAACATGGAGCAATGGTCTCAAGTTACAGTGGGAGAGGTCTAGGTTGGACATTAGGAAAAACTATTTCATTAGTAGGGTGGTGAAGTACTGGAATGGGTTACCTAGGGAGGTGATGGAATCTCTATCCCTAGAGGTTTTTAAGTCTTGGCTTGACAAAGCCCTGGCTGGGTTGATTTAGTTGGGATTGGTCCTGACTTGGGCAGGGGGCTGGACTTGATGACTTCCTGAGGTTTCTTCCAGCTCTATGATTCTATGAAAAGTAGTGGGTAGATGGCTTATTACCCTTCCTCCAGTTCCAGGATAGAAGTCCAAGCAAACCTGTCAGCAGGCCCTTTAATGAAATAGCAAGTAGAAAAATTTCTGAATCCTTGCTGGAGGCAGCAGGTTTTGGGTTTGGGTCTGGACCAAAAAGAAACCCACCAGCTGTGAGTGAGCTGCTCCCTCTCTCTAACAACTCTTAGCCTGAGAAGACTCACAACCTGATATGTGTGCGTAACCTTTGAAAAGGACCCAGAGGGAAAAGAGAATACACTATCTGCTTGTGTTAAAGATGTTTCAGAGCTGAGTCGTGTAACTTGTGCTCTGCACACTTTCTGAGTAGCAAGTGACCATTGCTCTTCATTTTTCTGACTCCTGTTTTTTATTATACAACTCTGATATTAAAGTCTCCCTGAAGTAGAACATTGTCTTCACTGGCCATAGGTATGATTGTCATCCAAATCCAAACTGAACTGTTCTTAATAAGGATGTTAAGGACTAGTCGACTATCCGATAAGCAAATACTTATCCGATAGTCAGTCAACTAGTCAATTCCCCCTCCCTTGCTGCCTCTATAAGATAGAGGCAGCAAAGGGGGAGGGAGAGGAAGTACTTCAGAGCGGCAGCACTTAAGGCTCAGCTGTGTAACACTGCCCCTTTGAAACACCCGAGGTGGCATTTCAAAGCGGCAGCGCCACGTGGAGCCCAGGGTCAGCTGGGGACTTCTCAACTGATCCCAGGCTCCGCACAGAACCCAGGATTGGCAGGGAAGTCCCCAGTTGAGCCTGGGTTCTGGAGAAATGCTGCGCGGAACCCGCAGTCAGCTGATTGAGGGTTCTGCTGAAATGCCGCACATAGCCCAGGATTAGCTGGGGAGTCCCCTGCTGACTCCAGGCTCCATGAGGGCACTTCAGCTTTGAAATGCACAAGAGACCCTGCTGTGGACTCTTGTACATTTTCAAAGCTGGCACGCTGTGTGCAGCCCGGAGTCAGCAGGCCTTCCCACTGGCCCGGGCTGCATGCGGAGTTCCCCATTCCTCTTTTCCGCTACAATTCCAAGTAGGAATGCGGAAGTGTCTATTGACTAGTCAAGGAAATTCCATCAACTACTCAACTAATCAATTAACCGATATTTAACATCCTTAATTCTTATATTCTACCCATGCTGTCCATGATTGCTGCACATGATTGCTGCACAGGATCTGATAAGAGTCTCAAAGATGTCACTCTCTTCACTCTGTTCTGAAGATCTGCTGGCAAGGAGAAGTGTCAAACATTAACATCTCTAAAGCACAAACAGCATTAAGGGAGTGATTATTAAATCTCATCTTAGATAGACTGGCCATGTCATCAGAATGGGTGCTGACAGCCTCCTGAAAAACATCCCCTCTAGTGAGCTGAAATTCAGAAATGCAGGAAGAATTATCAACATGAAAACTTCGGTCAGGCACAAACGGAATATCAACTCACACAGCATACATACAGATAGCTTGCAAGACACAACCAAGGACAGATTTGAATGGAGAGAAACTATCGCTGAAGATTGTAAATGCCTTGAGAGAGAGAGATATGAAAACTGATTGAAGAAACAGCCAAGCTCCATGCCTAATCTTCAGTGGAAGCCTACCCATTCCCTTGTAATATTTATTCATAACCTTATTCCTTGTAGATTAGGCAAGGCAGCCATGGCAAAACATGAGATGCCTTGCTGTCATCATCAGATATGTTGGACAGTAACTCAGCAGGATCTGGCTTCTGGAGTAAAAGGGGGAAAAGGATGGCATTCTTAATTTATTTAAAGAGGTGTGCAATAAATCTTTCACCAAAATCTACCGGTAAAATGTTTTCTGAATGGATGAATTTTGAACATGAATTAATTTCTTATCCCATGAAATACTATGCCTGTGGGAAGATAATACTAATTTCCTCTTTCCTTTCAGCCTAAGAGAAGAGCAATGGAATAATGTGGTTCTGGAAGATCTTCTGGAGAATATAGAAATGGATACATTTTTGGCACTTTATAGCCAGGTAAGTATGTAATTAAATGAATTCCTGGAAATCAATTAAATGAACAGAAAGTTGGTTGTAATCATATCATTTGCTTCTGTTTACAATATGTTTACCATCTGTGACTCTAGCATATGAATTGGGGGTGTCCAGTCCCAATAAGAATCACTGCCATCCATGATGTTTACTATCTCAGATAGTTCCATTGGCTTCAGTTACTTCTGGCTTACTACAAAGCGTAGTTTCATTTAGCCCATAGTAGTAAATAATTTCCATTGTTTATCATGTTTGTATACAGTTTGCATTTTATTCAATTGGGCAATGTTACTTATGTGTAGGCAGCTGGGTTTTCATGTATTAGAACAATGCTGCTGTTTGGATTTCTGATGCAGCAGAAGATTTATATTGAAATGTATACATATGATGTAACTATTTTCCAGCAATATTGAGAACGTTAATAAGCAGCATACTCTTTTTACACACACACATACACAAACACAAAGTCATTCAAGAAGAAATAAACAAGCAGCTACATCACAAAACCATCTCTTCAGCTAATGTTATTCATCACCCGTACTGGTTATCTGTGCTTAAATGGCATGGAAAAATGAACAGCTCTTCTTCACATATTTTCCTACCAGGCCAAGGCAAAGGCATATAGTCAGTGTTATGAAATTTAGCCCTCTTATACCTGTACCATCCTTATTAAAGAGGGCTCTCACTCTGTAATATTTTTCATACACAACAGATTATTAAAACCAATTTGAAAAAAATACAATGGGCTCCCAAAAGTAAGAAGTTTAATAACATAGATGTATTTTTTAAGAGTCCTGACCTTAGCAACTTCCCTTTTAACTCTAAAGAGGTAAGAGTTACAAAACAAATTTCATAATCGACATTCTGATACATAGTGTCTCAGCCATATAACCACCTGTGACGGGGTGGCACCGCCCCGCACTCAAGCCCAAGGAGTCCACCTGACCCAGGTGGCTGAAGGGGCCCCACCCCCGCAACCTTAGGCTGCAGGCTGGGGATAAATACCCAGACAAGCAGGGAGACAGGAAAGGGTGTGGCTGAAGAGGCAGGGGCCAGAGAAGAGCTCTGAAACAAACTAAACCACTGCCTGAACCCAGCCCGCTATTGCTGCTGCCTCAGGAGTCCGACCAGCCCCCACAGGAGTATCGCTCACCGTCCAAGCTGCTCCAGGAGCAGCCGAGGAATAACCTGCAGAGAGCCCCACCCGGCAAGGGGAGAGGTAGGAGACAGCCAGGGCGGAGAAAGGACCCTCCGGAGGACTGCGTGTTGCAGCAGGCGTCCCCGCCGACCAGGCAGCGAAAACCTTCACTGTCATCAGGGCCCTGGGCTGGGACTTGGTGGAGCGGGAGGGTCCACGTTCCCCTACCTCCCCCACCACCCCGCACGCCACCCGTAGAGACTGCAGGGGCATTGTACTTTGGGACTAGGCCCAAGGGCCATATTTCCCCTAAGCCAGGGGCATTGTACTTTGGGACTAGGCCCGAGGGCCGTATTTCACCTAAGCCAGGGGTCTTGTACTTTGGGGTGCTGGGCCAGGGAGGGCTGAAGTTTACCCCAAGCCAGGGTGGCACACCCCGATGCAGGGTCCACCCCTCAACACCACCCTTTCAATTTTTTCCTCCAAGAATGACTTGGAGAAAAAGTTGCATCACCCTTTGTGTGGTTTGTTCAAAACTGCTTCAGATACAGTTCCTTAAATATGGAAGGTGCTAAATAAAACCAAACGCTGTTAAACATTGGGAGAAAATAAACCATCAGATCAGATATAGACTTGCTCATAGAACCTTTTGAGATCTATTTGCACTTCACTGATCTTTATGCTGTAGAGCAGTGGTCCCCAACCTTTTGAGGTTGTCGGGTGCCAGGGGGCGTGGCCGTTTGCCCGCTGGGCGCCAGGGCCCCCCATAGCCGCGTGCCCGGGGGCGGGGTCCCCTCCAAGGGCCGCGCACCCGGGGGCAGGGCCCCCTCCAAGGGCCGCGCGCCC